CAACACACACACACACACACACACACACACACACACACACACACACATGCACATTAAGTCAATGCTTCCAACTGTCTAATAAAGTAGATTTGGGGTTTTCAAACACAGGGACCTGGATGCCATATGAGCAGCAGTGAGGTGAGGCTCGGGCTTGGCTCTCTGGCCCAGGTGATACCACACGCACCTCACAGTCTAGTGCGCCCCACCGCACTGTGAGCTCTACTTGGTCCAGTATGAGGATATAGGACACGTCCCCTGTGACCTGACAATGTGCTCACATGAAAGAGGTCAGCAAATAGGTGTTAAAATAAGTGTATGACCTTATCTCGCAGATGGAAACTGGAGCATTAGAAGACAGAAGAGGGGGAGGGAGGAAAGAAAATCCCCTCTCCCCCAAAAGATAACCCTTCTACAAGGGCCCTCCCTGCTTGTCCATGAAATCCAAGCACCTTCAACAGCTCTGAGCTCTCCGTGTGTCCACGGTAGGGACGTGAGAAGCAAAGTGCTCTCTCTGCAGGTCAGCTATGAAGACTCTGCGTCATGAGACGTCACATGAACCCTGCTGTCCCTTGCCTTCCTAATGCCTAAAGCCAGCTGACTGCACACTCCCGTCACATTCTACTTCTCAAAAGGGTCCCAGCCAGGAAACCCTGGCTGAGCGAAGTCCTGAAGCCTCAGTTCGAATGTTGCTCATAGAAGTCAGGGGCCCACACAGAACAGGCCTCCACAGGTGGGAGTTGAGACCCTGAGCAAGTGATTCACCCTCCAATCTCAGTTTATCTTAGGGGTCTGATAATCCTATCTACCTCGTAGGAATCTTGTAGTGATAAATTTAATCCTATAAATGTTAGATGCTGAGCACAGGTCCTCCCAGAAAGCCGGGACGCAAGAAATGCTAATTTTTTTTTTTTAAATTTAAAAGATTAGGAAATCATCCTGGAAAGGGGGCAGGGAAGGACAGCCAAGAGCAAGGAGGACCAGGGCATCACCTCAAAGCGGGCCAAGAAGTCCTTCAGGTTTGGGAAGGCATCCAGGCACTTGGGCTCAAATATTCGGTGCTGGTCAAGGACATCATAGACAAGGAAATCCACATAGGTGATCTGCAGGAAGCAGGGTCAGTGAGATGGGATCTGGTCATCTGGGAAGAAAGGCAACTCCCCCTCCTCACCAGTTACCCTCTTGACCTTGTCCCCTGCGAACCATGGCCGCTTGCCCAGGAACTCAGAGTAGAGCTTCATCTTCTCAGGGATACCCTCTAAGTACTCTGGCTTCCGTTTCTCCTGAGGTAGGGGGGAAAAGCAGTCACCACCCTCAGACACCGGCTCCCTGGCAAAGAGTTTGACTTCACGGGAATGCCGGGGGAGAGCGTCCACCTTCTCAAGGCTGGGCCCGAGTCGGCTTCCTGATTTTAAATTAGTTCACCACTACTAACCAGACCCCCACAGGCACCAGGTCCCATTTGTTGGAGATGATGAGAAGTCAGACAAGAATACAGCACTTTCATTGAACTCTACTTATTCCCCACGTCAGATCCGATTAGACTCAGAGGTGCCCGTGTACCTGACACACTCTGGACTCAGACAGCTGGTGCCATGAATGAAGCAAAAGACCAAAACATCTCAGGGGAGAAGGCATTCCTAGTGGATGGCAGAAGAGTGGATACTTGAGTACTTTTTATGAAGTGAAGGAATGTCTGATGCTGAAGGGAAGGAGTGGCAGGGCCAGCGTCCCTCTGGCCAACCCCCGAGCTGCCTATTGGGAAGCAGTCCTGATTCCTGTGGCTACTGAGGGCACAGTTCTGGAGGGACAGAGAGCTGAGCTCTGAGAGATGTCTGAGGCCAGGGTGTATAACACGCCCCCATCACCACCGGCCACCCAGTTTCTTTATTTTAACTCATGGCTTGAGTCTCCTTATTCCAGGAGCAGACAGAGGACATGAAGAGCCGGGACAGAAGGTCTATGGAAACTAAAGGAGATGAAAAGGACTCTTAATACATTCTCTAATGTTTAAAAACTGTATTTCCAGCTTGTGGAATCCAACCGCCTCCTAGGAGCGGTACAAACTGACTCAGTGGTTATTTGGCAAGATTATGGAGTCATGAAGGCCACTTCGCTGCTGGAATAAGTAAGGCCTTAGAGAGTCAGTACTACTAGAGTCAAGTGCTAAATTTGACCAATATAGGTGTGAACATAGGACGTTAACTCCAAACCCTGTCTGCTCCACCCCTGGCGACTCACAAAGTCAGGGTTGTAACAGAGCCTGATGAGCTGCATGCGGGTATCCATGGCCTGGTTCTCCACAATGTCGGCACGAATCCTCTCCTCCTCTGTCTCTCCACCTGCAGCACACACACAGCACACTCACCCTCAGCATCCCATCCTAGCCAAGACAAGGAGGTTGTCTCCCATGTCCCACCCCGCTGCCAGCCCACTCACACAGGTTGTTCTTGCGGGCAATGTAGCGCATGATGGCGTTGCTCTGGGTGATCTTGTGTGACCCATCAATTAAGTAGGGCAGCTGAAAAGAGAAGCAAGAATGGTCAGATGAGATATGGGGTCCCTGCATCCCTTCTCTGGTGAGGACAGACATGGGGCCTGGCACTCCGTGTGCCTGGCATGGTGAGCCCTCTATGGAGCTCACACTGCACACTGAAAGGAAGAGCTGGGACCCAGTCCATCACAGAGACACTGTGCAGCCACCAGGAGTGGGAGCAGGTGAGCAGAAGCTCTGATCCCAACCCCCTCAGCCAGGCAAGGAGATGAGGTGAGGACACCATGCCTTCCCCAAGCCTCCCCTTCCCTGCACCTACATTGGGAAAGTCCAGGCCCAGCTTGAATTTGTCATTCAGCCACTGGCTTTGGTCATAATCAGGAGCTGTAGACAAGACGATGTGAAAAGAGATCACCCAAGTTCCCGTCAGGCAAGCCTCCACCCCACCCCCACCCCCGCCCCCAGGCAGGGAATCTCAACCTCTCACGCTGAGTGTGTCATATTCCAAGGTTACCGGAGTGAAGTGTTAGGGACTGTGGGCCCTGCATATCAAAGGCTTACGAAAGGTTTAGGCAAACACTAAATCACAAATAGAGGAAAAGTCACAGCCCTGCATTGGAAGACCAAACTGTCCTCACAGGGGTTTCTTGAAGGTGTAAACTCTAGTTCTAGCTGGAAGAGGCCCCCAGGTCTGGGCACCAAGGAGCCAGGCACAGGGAGTCATTACCGTCCCTTACCGTCCCCCATGGTGTATCTCTTCTCCTCATAGCTTGAGTCTGTGTACTCCAGGAACAGACGGATGGCCTGACACAACTAAGAGACAAGGCTGATCAGAGAGGTACTGGGACCCCTGACTCTGCGACGTCTTCTCTATATCTGAATCCCTACACTTGATCTAACAGTACACACACACACACACACACACACACACACACGCACACGCACACACGCGCACACACACGGGAGGGGGGGGGAGATTAGTATCAAACATCTAGAGCTCTGAGACATTACAGGCTGAGGAATTAATTCACCAAGGCCTTACAAGAAAGATCCATTTCCTAGACCGGCACGTTCCCGCCCCGCGTCCCCATCGCACTCGGCTGTCAAAACCCTCTCACCCCACGGATATCCCAGTAACCCAGTGTCATGGGCATGGCGCTGGTGCTGTCTGGCCTCTGGCCTCAGCGAAGCTAGGCAAACTGTGACTGTACCCTGATGCACAGGGGAGAAGCAGCAGAACGGATACTGAGTCCCGCCCTCCCGTCTTGGCTCCGCCCCTTCTTTCTCGGCCCCGCCCCGCTCCTGTTAGGCAAGGCTCTGGCGGAGGTCTTCTCTCAGCCTCCAAGCCTAAACAAGGCGGAGTCAATTTTAAAGTAACCATGGCTGTGTGACCCAGGAATGGGTGACTCTGATGGGTGACTCTGTAGGCCTTGTCCCTGCCTGCGCCACGCCGCTGCTCGTCTCCTTCCCTCCCCATCCCCCAAGCTGTCAGTGTCCCTGGAGAGAGGCCAGATGTTGAAAGTGCAATGATCTCGCCTTTCCCCTCCTCTTATCACTCAGCCTGTTGCTAGTCCAAAACAAGACACCCTCCAAGGAATAGTTTAGTCCTATCGCTGGAACAGCAGGACCCTGGCCAATTTGAAAAACAAACTAAACAAGGAATGGTATTCGCTCCTTTACAGGCACAATAAAATGGACCTACCCAAGGACAAAGGGCAGACAGACTATCAAGTGGTTTCGGTGTTTAGCATCTTGGCTGTGTTTGCAACTCTCGGCTCTGAGCGCACTGCGAATCTGAGACTCCCACAATCACAGACGGCCTACCCTGACCACCAAAATGGTCCGACTGGAAACACAGTCCTCACAGCTGGAGTATGCTAGGGTGGGAGAGCATGTGCCCCAAGGGAACAGACGCCTCTCCTGCTTCCAAGGGACAACAGGATGCTGTCCAGAGGCGATCCTTGGGGAGCTCTGCACAGGACACAGGGAACCCAAGGCCAGATCTTCAGCTGTCAGGGTCCCTGACCCACATGTGTCTGGTTATGAGAGGGAGGTCCAAGTAAGTAGCTTTTCAAGTCACCCTGTGACATGGATTTTGTGGTACAACCTCCAAAAGGACAAAAGCCTATCAAGAACACTGTCACACCTGCCATCCCATGTCCTTGAAGGCAAGATTGTTTCAAAATCAAGGGGTGTGTGAGAAATTGAACTTTAGTTGACTTTGTCCCGATTAAGGAAAGGGAAAGACAAAATGAATAACGAAAAACGATGATCCAGACCTTGCAAATCAAAGGGCAAAGCTGTTGCTGTGCAGAAAGTACATTTTGAGAATTAATACCCATTGGGACTTCAGGGTAAGGTATAAGCATTCCTGGGACAGGCAGAAGCTACCTCAGCACTAAGGGCAGAGAAATCACATACTCTGGGTCTTTGTGAAGCCCAGAGTTCAGAAACCATGTCATGGGACTAGCAAGGCGCAGTGCTATGGCAAATCCTCCCAACTCAGCTCACTAAACTGCACCTGAGCTCGAGAAGGAGCCTGATGCCCCAAAGTAAATTCTCACATAGCTTTCCCCAGACCACTGTCTACTACAAGGCACAAGTGCATGTGCACACATGCATGCATGGGTCCCTGAATCATTGTTAACTATCCATATGCTAGATACTTTTATATCAACTTGTCAAAAGCTAGAGTTGTCTGAAAAAGGCCTCCATAGACTGGCCTATAGGCAAGACTGTGGGCATTATCTTGATTAATGTTTTATATGGGAGGCCCATCCCACAGGGGTGAAATGTGCAACCTCTGGGCTGGTGGTCTTGGGTGCTATAAGAAAGCAGATTGAGCAATCATGGCGAACAAGTCAGTAAGCAGCACCCCTTCATGACCTCTGCATCAGCTCCTGCCTCCAGGTCCTGCCCTGACTGAATTCCTACCTTTATTTCACTCAGTGATGGACTGTGATGTAAAACTACAAGCTGAAATAAACCCTTTCTTCCTGGTGTTGCTTTTGGTCACGATGTTTAATCACAGCAGTAGAAACCCTAACGAAGACAGGGTATGTCATTGTCTTCATAATTATGAGCACGGAGATATAAAATTCCTGGCTCTAATTGAGGAGATAATCTCTAAGAAAAACTCTAATGTGAATTAAAATGATAATCTTAAAAATATAAAGCAGGGGTCTAGAGAGGCTGGTCAGCAGGTAAGAGCACTGGCTGTTCTTCCGGAGGACCCAGGTTCAATTCTCAGCACCCACATGGCAACTCACAACCATCTGTAACTCCAGTTCCAGGGAATCTGCTGTAAGGATTCGGTCCTTAATTACGTCATCAGCCTTTGATGGTGTCCCAGCCTAACAAGTGGGTGGGCCCTCTGTGCGTCCCTCTCTTTCCTTTCCGCTCCTTCCTTCTGTCTGGACCTCCTTCTCTCTCTCTCTCTCTCTCTCTCTCTCTCTCTCTCTCTCTCTCTCCCCTCTCTCCCTCTTTTTTTCTCCCCTCCCCCCAATAAAGCTCTAAAAAGGTAACCATGGCTGTGATTCTTCCAATCAGCACTCTCCTCCGCCGACATGGCCACCGTGGGCAGCAGCCAGCCTCGAGGAGCAGCGCCACAGCGTAACCAACATCTGTAACACCCTCTTCTGACCTCTGCAAGCAAAACACCCATATACCTAAAATAAATTTAAAATATATCGAACAAATACTGGAACATTGCTGTTTATTCACCTGGTCCCTTCCGTATTATGTTTTGTTTTGTTTTTGTTTTTGTTTTTTTTAAGCAGTTGTTGACACCTTCCCACAGTCTGGGCCCCGTGCATAGCATGACTCTCCTATAGACTGTCGAGATTCAGGAAATATGAGGCACACGGGAGAGGAAGGCGAGGCAACACAAGAGGAGGAGCCATGCTGGCCAGGGTCTCCTCTGGAAATTTCTTCACAGTCTCTGGAATATCATTCATCTAAACTCAGAAAACTCCAGGATACAAAACAACATTTTCTTAAATCTAAAAATAGGAAAATAAAATCTCATTCACAGGACACTGACAAACTGGAATTCAGTAAAAGAGATTTCCCACCTGCCTCAGATACTAAGAATAAGGCAAAACAAAGTTTTCCAGAAAGCAGAAATGCAATAAAACCTGAAATTATAGAAAACAAGAAACATTTCTAAAAAGGGAAAGTTTTTAAAAAAATATTTATTATGTAGTTTTATTTTAAGTGTATAAGCGTTTTGCCTGCGTGAATGTCTGTGTCCCACATGTGTGTAGCGCCCTCAGAGGCCAGCACAGGGTGTTGGATCCTCTGGAACTGAAGTTATAGATAAATGACTATAGGCTGCTATGTGGATGCTGGGAACTGAACCCAGATCTTCTGGAAGAGCAGCCAATGCTCTATGAAGGGACTCTGGCCAGCTCAAACATGACAGACATGCCTCTGACAGGCCTTGCTATTCTCCCCGTTCCCTCTGCCTTGCTAAAAACCATTAGATTACCTTCTGAAAGCTAGCCACCAAGGTCTAGTCCTTTATTTAGTCATTTCCTTCTCCTGAGGCTGACTACCAAGGTCCAGCAATCAAAGTATTGAAGTAATCAATATTACTTCAATTACAGCAATCAAAAATCCCCTTTGGCTCACCTAATCAACATGCTCAATTAGACACCTCATTCCGACACAGGGTTTACCCTTTTCCCTTTATAAACCGCCATTTTCCTATGGGCCACACCTGTCTCCTCCCTACCCAGAGGCAGTCCCTTGTCCCACTCTGGGACAAGTGCCCCCACTCCCTCCCCCTCCCCATTCTCTTTCATCTCTGTCTCCTGTCTTTGTCTCTTATTCCCTGTTCTCTGTCCCTCTAGGGCAAATAAGTCACCTTTGTGCTAAGAATTTGGTCTTGGATATCCTGAGCTGACACTTTTCTTTCCATTCTTAAGGGCCAAGTCACCTCTCCAGCCACAAAACCGAAAAACTTACCGATATGATTCTTAAAGGGATAGCTGGGTTTCTAAAAATAATGGATTTCTAACAACCCAAACATACAACTTTAGAAAAGGTCATCTGGCCTATCCATGTCCATACTCAGCAAGCCGTGGAGATTCTGGAGATACCCTTCACGCACCAAGGCTTAAAGATAGCCAGACTCCTAACTGCAGCTAGCTAGGAGTCTAATTGGAATAAATACACTGTGAAGTAACTCGAATTGCACCCCTTCTCTGTGTGCCTCTTAATAACATAGAATTTAGCGCTGTGGTCTAGAGATCCATTTGTCTCCCCATTCCTTCCCAGATTTATTTTCACTGTCTAAAAGCACAAAAGCATCAGGCTTTAGTCATTGCTTTAGACTTCAGTCTCGTGTGAAGATTCCCATGTCCACGTAGAGTAAATGAAATGCTTGTATTTTTCTCTTATATTACTTGGGCTCCTAGATCCAACCTACAATCCCAGATAAGAATTGTCCTCTGACCTCTTGACACTCAATGTGTGGCTTGCCCTCACTGACTGGAGCAGGGCTCAGCCCATCCCTAACCCGCACAGGCTGGCTCCGCCGAGATCCTGGGCCTCAGACTCAAGGCTGACACAGGGTGAGGCTACTTCCAGATCCTTCTGTACTGCCTCTCATTAGGCGTACAGCTACCAAGAAAGACCAACCATAGTCTTTCAAAGTCCGCTGTTGATACTGGCCTACAGACTGGTAAATCTATGATTCCTGTTATAGCAGCATTTGTTTAGACAAAAGCTTGCTGTGGATCCCTGAAACAAAACAAAGCACAAAAACACCCAAACCGAAATAAAACAACATAAAACAAAAAAAAAACAAAAAGTTAAGGTTCCCCCTTGTGTTACATCCTAGGAGTTTGTTTTGATGAGCAAAGAGAACACCCTCTCCAAATTCTGCTTTCTGAGTGCACAAGTGTCCACCCATATCTAGGCAACCAGCTAAGAGTCTAGGAACTCAGTGTTCTGCCATGCCAAACTTGGGGAGTCTGTACAAAAGGAGTTTTCTCATTGCCGTTGCCTGGCCAGTGCTGGCAAACTGTGGCTGGAAGCTAGTGTATTTTTGTAGGAGGCTGAATGGTATCACGCATACAGGCAAACACCATCTTTAATCTCCTGTGGCAACAAGTGTCTTTTACTGTTTCGGTCAGTCCCCAAGAGTGAATTGGGGTCCTAGCTGGGACACTCTTGTATCTACTTTGGGATAGCTCTGGCTTCCGAGTCAGTTTCTGCTGACACAGCCCTGTTCACAGCCTGCTTCTGCTAGCTTTATCTTGGAGTCTGTTACACATTAGCAGTTTTTCTTTGTATTTAATGATTGCTCCTGACTCACTACAGATGCTTTAAATGGAATGGAATTTTATCAGCAAAATATTGCACAGTATGACGCATAGGGCTGACTCTGCCCTCCCCTGTCCTTCTCACTGAGAAGTGATGAGGCAGGGGTCTCCGGGTGCTTTTCTCAGACAGATCTTACCATGTTTTCAAAATGGATTTTTAAAAACACATCTTGTAATGCCTTCTCAGTATCTCTGTCTCATAAAATCACATCATAAACTCCTTTCTCAGTGAATTCCCTTAGGCTCAAGAGAAGAAAAAAAACTGCTTTATTTTAAACTGTTTGTGTGGCTCTTGAATTTGTATCATGATCATCTCTTCTTTCATGGACACCTTTTGAATTCCTGCTTATCTTGCTGTTTTGACACTCCTTCTCTGAGGGAGTTACACAGTATATTGAGACTTTGTGTACAGAAGATCAGAATGAGGACCCCAAAATATGACTGGGCAAAAAAGCGGGTAACAACTCCTTTTGTAAAAATGTTTGTTTTGTTTTGTTTGTTTGTTTTCAGACTGGATGTGAGATTTACTACTGAACATGATTTGGTAGGTACAGGAGAGCACTGTGGAAGCCCTCAGGAGTGCAGGGCTCGCCCCTTGTCCAGGGGACCACTACTGGAGATATATTTGACCCCACGGTCATCAGAAATTGGCTGCTTCTCAGCAATCACGTCTTCAAATTCATCTGCATTAAACTTGGTGAAGCCTCACTTCCTTGAGGTGTGGATCTTCTGGCGGTCAGGGAACTTGAACTTGGCTCTATGAAGAGTCTCAATCATATGTTCCTTATTCTGCAGTTTGGTGTGGGTGGGCATGATGACCTGGCCAATGAGAACCCTGGCCACTGTGCCCTGGGGATTCCCAAAGGCACCATGAGTACCTATCTGGAGCCTAGACTGGGGACTGAAATCAGAGACTTGAAAAGAAGCTGCCAGAAAATTGTCTCCAAGGTCTCTTAGGGCAACCCATATAGGCAACAGGTTGAATGCACTACAGTGAAGCTGTTGTTTATAACCATTGCAAACCAGGCCCCCTGGGAAAGGAACCTGATCAGCTTAATTAACTGCAATGGGTAACAACACTTGTGTGTGATGAGGAAATAAATCATTTTGTCCTTCACCTTGTATTAGAAGTCATTGGGGTTTTGACAGAAAGCATTGTTTCCTCATTGGAGAGCTTGATTCTTTTGATTTTTTAAAAATATTTTTTCTTTAAAAAAAATTGTTTTCGGCTGGGAGGTGGTCGCGCATGCCTTTAATCCTAGCACTTGGGAGGTAAAGGCAGGCGGATCTCTGTGAGTTCGAGGCCAGCCTGGTCTCCAAAGTGAGTTCCAGGAAAGGTGCAAAGCAACACAGAGAAACCTTGTCTTGAAAAACAACAACAACAAAAAATTGTTTTCCCTTTTCTAGATTAAACCCAGGGCCTTGCACGTGCTAGGTAAGTGCTCTACGAGACAGAATTCCAACTCCATCTCATTCTTATTTGTTTGGGTTTCACAGGTAAATAGTGATTACAGTTTAAGCACACCTCTAGTTTAAAAATTTGCTTCATTTTCAGAACATGACCATAATTTTGCTTTATTTTTTTCCCTCTGGAGCTGAAATGAACTATAGACTCAAGAGAGAAATCATTTAGGATATATCTCAATGATAGAGAACACACCTACATGGACGAATTCCTAGGTTCAGTCTCTAGCACACTGTCCCCAAAACCCACTTGTCAAGACATTTAAAAGACAAACCATTTGTGCATTTGTAGCATTTGTAGTGGTCAGTTTTCCAATACTTCAGCCAAAAGCCTGAAGTAATCAGCTTAAAAAGATGAAAGGTGTATTTTTGGTTCAGTTTGGAATGTTGAGTCCATGGTTCACAGTCCACCGCTTTGGGGCCTGCAGCAAGGTAATCCATCACAGTAGGAGCACGTGGCAGAGGAGGCTCCTTCACCTTATGGATGGAGAGAGAGAGAGAAAGAGAGAGGAGACAGAGCCCCACAATCCCTTTCAAGGCCATATTCCTATTCCCCAAAACCTCCCACTATATTCTACCTTTCCACCAGTTCTCCGTCATGGCCAAGCTAAGGACCATGCCCTTAACATGTGGGCCTTTGGAGAACGTTCCAGATCAAAACTATAGAACCACTGTAAATTTATACCAGAGAACTTTTTTGTCTTGCTTTATTGAGACAGGATCTCACATATCCCCAAGCTGGCCTTGAACTCACTAGATTGTAGAGGATGACCTTGAATTCCAGGTTCTCCTGACTCCACTTCCTGAGTACTAGGACTGTGTGTCCAAGAACCTGTCCACACGTAACCATACCTGGCCAGAGAAACTTCACTCCCATTTGTTGTAATTTGGATGTTGAATATCCCAAGGTCTGCCTTTTAAAGCCTTGGTGCTCAGAAATTCCTACATGGAGGTGATAAAGACTATGAGAGGTAGAACAGAAGGGAGATTATTATTGCCTGGATATGAAATGTCCTTCCAAAAAGGTTGTGATACTAATCATGTCAGCTTGACACACCGGCATTGGGAGAACCTCAACTGAAGAATCACCTCCATCAGATTGGGCTGTGGACATATTTGTGGGGCATTGTCTTGATTGTGGTTGAGGTAGAAGGGCCCAGCCCACCATGGGCAGTACTGTCCCTAGAAAGGTTGGCCTGAGCAGTATAAGAAAGCTAGCTGAGGATATGAGGGTCATCTGGCTGAGACATCTGTCACCCCATTGATCGCCAGGGTTGATTTGGCTGATGTGGCGGGTGTCCCCTTGCTTCCTCACTGTTCAGTGTGCATCACTCCTGGTCAAGAATGTATGAGTAGCTGTGCTTCTCTGCCAGAACCTCCAAACAAGCTCTCAAGAAAGCTGGCTGAGCATGCCAAGTGGAGCAGCAAGCCAAGTAAGCATCCCTGCACTGTGGTTTCTGCTTCAAACTCCTGCCTTGACTTCCTGTCATGGCTTCCCTCAATGATGAACTATACCCTGTAAGCTGAAAGAAACCCTTTCTTCTCCGAGCTGCTTTTCATCATGGTGTTTATCACCATGACAACAACAGAAACCAAACTAGAATGGATATCATATGTTAAAAGCTTGGTTGCCAGCTGATAGGGTCTTGGGAATTAATTAGATGAGGGCTTGACCTTATTAGTAATTTCTTTCTAGGCTCATAACATGCTATCATTTTTGAGAGATGGGACCTACTTGGAAAAAGAAGGTCACTTAGGGGGCATGGCCTGGAAAGATACTGGGTCCTTCCAGTCTCTTCTCTAGTTTCTGGCCACATTAGGTATCTTTTCTCTGCCACATGCTCCCTGCCAGGCTGTTTTAGCCTTGCCTCAGGCACATAGTAATGGAGCCAGAGCATGAGACTCTTAATCCCAGGGTCGTAGGTTCATGCCCCACGTTGGGCGCCAAATGTAGATGTAACCAACTGTCTTATTAAATAAGAAACACAGAACCAATATAAAAGAGAAAGCCAAGTGGTCAGAGCTCAGAGCTAAAATCTTACCTCCTGCAGTGCTCCTAACTCTCTGAAAGAGACCTACTTCCTGTGCGTATGTCTTTAAATAGTCTTTCTGTTCTGCCTTCTCATTGGTTGTAAACCCAAACACATGACTGCCTCGTCACTGCCTGTAAGTACAGCCCTCCAGGTCTTAAAGGCGTATGTCTCCAATGCTGGCTGTATCCCTGAACACACAGAGATCTATGGGATTAAAGGCGTGCGCCACCACCGCCACACTCTGTCTATGGCTCTAATAGCTCTGACCCCCAGGCAACTTTATTTATTAACATACAATTAAAAATCACATTCCAGTACAAATAGAATACCACCATATTACTCAGAGGCAAGATAAACTCTTCTTTTTAACGCTCTGTCAGGTGCAAACCCAACCAGCACAGATGTCCTTTAGGGGTTTGTCTTTGAAGAGGATCATCAGACTCTGGCTCCTTCCTCCCCTCCTTTGCTTTCTGGCCATGTGTTCTACCACATTCTCCTGCCGTCATGTGCTGCTCTGCCACAGGCCCAAAACAATGGGACCAATCAGTCACAGGCCGGCACCTCTCAATCTGTGAGCCACAGAGGCCACCATGAACAAGGCAGCCATGGTGGGCTCTCTGGGAGAGATGAGACCTTGAGAGTTGACATCTGCTTTGCTAGGCTTCCATTTGGCCATTTAGATAAAATCCATACCCTTGTTATCTTCCTAGTCCTCTCTTTCAGAATAGGAATATTTACACTGTCTTTCTCCAAGCACTGAATCTTACAAGTATGTAACTTTTAAAATGTGTGTATTATTTATTTATCTATTTTTATAGAGCCTCCTGCCTAAAGGTTTCTTTGAGATTTGAGGTTTTGCACTTGGACTTGTAAGCCATTAGACTCTGGGAAGAGGTGAGATAGAATATATGATTTGTATTGTAAGATAAACATAAACATTTGGAGGTCAGAGTCAAATGGCTATAGTTTGGACATGGAATGTCCCCCATAAGTCCATGTATTAAAGGTTTGTCCCAGAGTGGCATTATACATGGTAATAGAGCTTTGGAGAGATGGGGTGTTATGGGTGGCCTTTGGGACTTTGGAGGCACACCATTAAGCAGATGTGGAACCCTGCATTCTTCCTCTCTTGCTTCCTGACTGCAAATTGAGTGGTTTTCTCTGTCTTGCTGTGGTGTGCTCACGACTGCTTCAAAGACTGGAACCTTCATGACTATGTGCTAAAAATTTCTCTTTGTGAGTTAATTATCTCAGGTATTACTTTATATAGCACAAAGTCAAACAACGTGCTACCTTAGCTAAAAATCTGTACCCTGCTGTAAAGGAACAGATTACCAACTACACAATTAGGTGGTCACACCCACCTCTGGAGATTCAGATCCCCTCACAGTTTTTGGGGAAATTAAAAATTGAGTGTCGTTCTTTTTCTTGGCACACTCTAGGAGATCAGCTAAGCCAAGTGAAGCTGAATATCTCCTTCCAGACACTACCTATCAGAAATTTACTGAAGTGGCTCATGACCACAAACTTTGTACTTTCTGTGAGATAGATGTGCATGGTTACAGATATTGCTGCTGATGCTCTGGGTGAATATGGAAGGGTTATGTGCTCTGAATCAGTGCCCAGATCAGTAAACATGGTTTTCTCATGAAGCAAGGTGTCTTGGTCCACAGCAGAGTGTTCCTGTTATTGATTGGGCGGTCAATCTTTTTATTCCTATTTATTAACATTATTCTGTTTATTAACAAATAAATGACCATTGTTATAGACCAAGGGGAACTGGAGAGAGGAAGCACAAGTCTGTTCAGGATGCATTGTGGATGTCAAGCTGAGTGTTCTCAACTTGGTTATTGTTTTAAAGACACACACACACACACACACACACACACACAGAGAGAGAGAGAGAGAGAGAGAGAGAGAGAGAGAGAGAGAGAGATCGAGAGAGATCCCTGGACTTACAGATACTACTACTGTGCCTTGGCAGTTGGGGCCCAAAAGAGCTAGCAGAATCCAAAAAACTTTCAATCTCACTAAAGAAGATGATGTCCACCAATGCTGTCAGAAATCCCTCAAACAAAGAAAGTAAGAAGGCCAGGACCAAATCACCCAAGATTCAACATCTTGTTACTCACATGTCCTGCAACACACATGCTGATGTATTGCTCTGAAGAACCCAGGCACTAAGAAAAACAAGGAGCAGGCTGAGGAATCTGCTAAACTTTTAGCCAAGAGAATAAAGGAAGCCAAATAAAAATAATTTTAAAAATGCCAGGAACACATTGCCAAGAGACGGGGGCTGTCCTCGGTGAGAGCTTCCGCTTCTGAGTCTGAGTCCAGTCAAAACTAAATCTTTAAGAGTAACAAATAAATGAACAAACCTTGGAGTAGAGGGAAGCAAATGTCTTTGTCTTACAAATCGAACCACTACAAAGACAGAAATATACCTCTGAAAACCTACCCTATCTATCTCAGAATACCTTCAGGTACTATTAAAATTAAAAAAAAAGAAAAGAAGTAGGAGAAGCGAGATGGCTAAGTGGATAAAGGTATCTGCTACCAAACTTGATGACCTGAGTTTGATTCCTTGTGAACCACATGGTGGAGGGAGAGCCCACCCCAGTGGTCACCCTGATTCCACACACCCACTGTGCCACTGCCCCAAATAAATGCTTTAAAAACATTGAAACCGAGTCTGCTTTGCCCTGCCCTTAAACTTTTATAAATGAGATTAAAGCTTAAACAGAAAGTCAGGGATGTGGTCATCCAAACAGTGCCTGTCAAGGTCTGTCCCACCTGCCATTGACGAGCTGTCTGGAATTCAGGCTCATCCTACAAGGTGGTCTGACAAGTTATTGAACTGGGTTATTAGAGCTGTGAGGAACCTCTCTTCAGGGAAGAGATTTCTTCCCACTGTCTGGTGCCAGGCTTCCACCTTTTCCTTCTCCCAGCAGGAGATACCTGGAGAAAACTCCAGTTTCCTGGAATCCATCGTTTCAATGGTCTGAAAGCCAGATTGGGGGACACAAGTGTCTCATTAGAATTGACTCCCTCCCTCCAGGCCAGTGACAACTTTGCTGTGTAGATTCCCACAGGGAAAGGAGTTCTAAAGGTGGCATTGTTAGCCTGCTCTGTCCTTGTGTGACCAGCATACCAAGGAACAGCTGATTTCATATCCGCACGGGAGGCAGGTTCTCATGTCGATAACACAAGTTTGCCCCAGTTCCCAGCATGCCTGACTGAGAGGCAGTGGCCCTCTAGATAATCCCTATCTGAATGTCCTTCCTGGTCTTGGCCCACTTTTTCTTTCTTTCTTTCTTTCTTTCTTTCTTTCTTTCTTTCTTTCTTTCTTTCTTTCTTTCTTTCTTTCTTTCTTTCTTGGTTTTTCAAGACAGGGCTTCTCTGTGTGGTTTTGGCTCCTGTCCTGGATCTCACTCTGTAGACCAGGCTGGCCTTGAACTCACAGAGATCCGCCTGGCTCTGCCTCCCGAGTGCTGGGATTAAAGGCATGTGCCACCACCACCTGGCCTTGGCCCACTGTCAACAGAGGCCATGGTGCTAAATGTCTTTCTTTCTTTCTTTCCTCATTGGACATCATCAGCCAGGGACGTTTCTTGGTCTTGGATGAAGATTCCTCATGTGGCTGTGGTGGACTGTTGACTGACAGTAACTGTCTCTCATGCCTTTAACCTCTAGGGTAGCCTGGGGCTTCTGTCATTGATTAATCCTGAAGTCAAGAACATTAAAACAGCCAGCGCCTCAGAGCTTTTGACCCAGTTCCAAATAAGAGGATCCAGGACGGTGGCGTATGACACCTACAGGAGACTGTAAACAGACTACAGCAGCACTGAAGGACTTTGTAGAGTGTAGTTGCCGTTAAATGCTATAACCTGAGAGTTCTTAATTCATTCCTTCAGAAGCTCTTAATTCATTCCTTCAGTCAACACATCACTACCCAGTACCTTGGATTTTTTTTTTTTTTACAAAGTGTAGGAATTGTACCAGAAATTAATATTATATGAGGAAAGTTTGTTCCACCTGAGAAACTAGAGAGCGTTCAGAGAGTGGCAGGGGTCCCTATAACCTTGCCTCATGTTGCTGGTATTGGAGTGAAAATCTCAGCTGGGAGTCCAGCACAGGAATGCTCTGGATGGTTGAGCTTGTTCTAAAGGTAACAATCTTAGCTAGCTCTCCTCCAGGCCAGGTGTGCATGCAAAGCCAAGGAATGAGCCTTACCTGAGAATGGCTTGGAAGTGTGATGTTTACAAAACATACAATTCAGCTTTCAAGAAAAAAAATCCCATAAAAAACAAAACAACAACAAAAAACAACAACAACAAGAAAAGCCCCATGTGGTGGTGGCAGTGCACGTCTTTAATTCCTGCACTTGGGAGGCAGGTGGAACATACGTGCATTTGAGGCCAGCTTGATCTAAGGAGCAGTTCCCAGACAGCCAGGGCTACACAGAGAACCCTGTCTCAAAAAACAAACAAACCAAAAAAAAAAAAAAAAAAAAGAAGAAGAAAAGAAGAAAGAAGGAAGGAAAGAAGGAAAATGATCATGAAATAAAAAGGCTGAAATCCTTGGACACGTTTACTTTATCTGCTATCTATATTGCATGGCTTATTTTATAGATAAAAAGAGTTTATTAAGATATTATATGATCTAGTAGCTTCAGTTCCTTATTATTTATTATGAAGAGTGTGTACATTTCATTTTATCTTACAAATCAAACACATTTTTATCTGCCTGCTTGCACATAACACAATGTACTGTGTATGAAATAGACAATGTACAGAAATGTGTATCACCCATGTCCCTCTTCATTCTAGTTACAGGCAGCAGGACTAACTAATAATAACCTCTTATCTTTGGGAAGATAAAATACATTTTTTTCCTGGTAGAAAGCAAATGTTAAATATGTGATGGATTTAAACTCCCAATATTGAAATCAAGATGATTGGTGTCTGTTCACCTACTGCAGTAAAATGAAGTGATGTGTGTGGTTTTTTGTTTTTGTTTGCTTGTTTGTTTGTTTTAATTATTAAGCAGAAAGAGTTTTTTTAACTTACTTTAAAATTAAGTTATGGAAATTCCCCATTTCCACTAACTTTTTGTAATTAAGATGGAGAGGACCCAGTCTATAATTCATGAATGGGTTAAAATCTGCAATTGAATTTTAACTACTTGAGAATTGCTGGTTGGCAGGTGAGGGACCAGACTGGACACGACCCTGGAGGAGGAGTTACCTGCAGGGAGAACCTGGAAACTGTCCTGCCCCAGGGGCATCAGGCTGTACATAAGAAGGAGAGATGGTGAGCTGGGCACCCAGAGAGGCAGCCTAGTCCTCTAGGGTACAGGGTAGGGAGGGGGTGACTCTTCAGTCAGACAACTGCCCCCTCTGCAGTCTTCAGCAGCCTGTCCCAGGCCCCAGCAGCCCCTCCTGTGACTATGGAGATGGAGGAAGTCCCACCACCCTCAGTCGGCAGCAGAAGGAAGCAAGACTAACTGGGCTGTTAAATGCATCTGAACTGGTAGCCATGACAGAGGAGTGAGTGACAGGGAGATGGCGTAAGTCTCTGCTTACCCAAGACCAGAGAACCAGGAGCACAGAGTTCCCAGTGCCAGAGACGGATGTCCTCACCGAGCAGAGCTACCAAGTTCACACTTCCCCAGCTTCCATCAGATCCCTGATGGATGGAATGTCTATCTGCCTGACCGGTCAGGATGTTTCTTCGCTACTCAGTCTCCTCATTCATACTAATCCCTTCTGCAAACAGCCTCACAGACACAGCAGAAGAGTATCTTCACAGCTGTGTGGGCATCCATTTGTCCAGTCAAACTAACACAAAAAATTAAGCATCTTATTTTATGATAGAAACCCTGACCCTGAATATCAATTCATAACACTGAGCTAGAGGGGAAGAGTAGATCTTAACTGCCAGCAGCCCATCTTTTAACTGTTCACCAGAAATTGGCTAAGCCCTGAGGAAATTTTGGACAGTTTTACACGGGGAGATTTGTAGGCCTTGATCCATCAAGCAGAAATAGGTACACACAGTAACAATTAGCCAAGAATGAAGGCAAAAAGCATCAAAGAGTCATTGTAAACTTCAAAGGCACCGAGACATGGAACAGTGGACTCCAGTGTTTCTGTGACACATGAAAGGGGCCACATGTCTTCCTGGTGACACTGTCAATGTACTCATAGAATAGGCACATAATCTCTGCAAACACCACACAACTGTTCTTTCCATGTGCCCCAGACTCTGTCCTTTGGGGATCATCGAAAACCCAGGAACCAAAGAAAAGGGAGACAACACAATTTAAAGGCAACCGTACTGGTGTAAAGAAAGCTAAAAGGTTAGAGGTGCCCCATAGCATGAGAAGGACTAGGAAAATCGTGCTTTATCTACAGGTATGATTACTAGATAGCAGCTAAGTCTCATGAATGTACATGTAAGCGAAATGCTGATACACGTCCCACTTTTAAAAATAGACACTGCCGGGGGGCTAGAGAATGGCTTACTGGGTAAAGTGCTTGGCATGCGAGTGTGAGGACCTGAGTTTGGATCCCTGGTATCCACTTTAATAAGGCAGACTTGGGCTGGGCACCTGTAATCCAGGCCTGGGAGACAGGGACAAGAGGATCTTAGAAGTTCACTCACTAACTGTTCAAGCCAACTAGAGGTTCAGATTCAGTCAACGACCTGTCCTAAAACTTAAGGTGGAGAGCAATAGAGAAAGGCACCCATTGTTGACCTCTGGTCTCCACATGTTCACACACAGACACTTGCAACTAACACACACATGTATGTACGTACACGCGTGCACACACACGCACGCGCACGCACACACACACACCATATACATATACATCACACAGAGAAGGGGGGAGGGAAGAGAGAGACAGAGACAGAAACAGAGAGAGACAGAGAAAGAGAGAACAGACTATGGTCTTTCTTTTCCTTTCTTTTCTTTCTTGGGCAGGCAAGGGGGTCCCAGCCAGGGCTCTGTGGGTGCTAGGCAAATACTCTCTCTACCAATGAGCCACACAGCCAGCCCCCCAAATGTTTTAAATAGAAGGTTAAAGCCAGGATGAGCAGAACCTGTAGGGAACAGAGGAAGCCCTAAGTGAGCGAGGTCCTGAGTGAACGTTATTTTGATACGGGCGCAGCTACATTGAGAACTACAAGACCTCGGACCCATGAGACTATTGGCAGAACCATTATGGCTCAGATTCAAGAGGAACATAAAAGCTTTTCTTGGGGTCAGAGTCTTTATGAACAATTGATCAGCGTGTGCAAAGACTAGCAACTGTAGCTTCCTCCTCCCGGATGTTCATAGCCTAAGACTGTATGATTACAGTGACCTCCAATCTAGATTAGCTCACTCCACCCCTGTGCTCTACCTAAAATACAAGCTGAGGATCCGGGTTGTAGTGGTGACAGAACCCTACCGGATCCTAGTGTCACTGTATGTGTGTCTGTCCTTTCTCCATTCCCTCACTGCCCCAGTCAAGGTTCTGGGACCTAAGCCACACTGATCCTGGCAAGAATGTATGTACACAGATTAAAGCAGACATTATTAAAAGTCAAGAAAATCTGTGAAGTCATGTGGTTGAATAGACATTTGTCAAGTCTCTACTATGATCTGGGCATTTTCTAGGCCCTGAACACTAGAATACTAATGAACAAGAAGAAACCAAAATACATGCAATTTTGCCATTATCATTCATAGGCAGAAGCACACAATAAATGTGAACAGTAAGGTATGCAAAATGCATACTTTCCACCAATGTGTAACTCACATGCAATAAATGTACAGCTCTTCAGTGTATACCTATGTGAATTTGCTCTCTGTATTCTTCATGTAATTATCATCCAGATCTAGGTAAGGAATGTTTCTAGCACTCCACAAATTCCTGTCAATAAACAACCCTGCCAAAATCAACATGCGTTTGACCCAATCACACTTCCCATCTAAATGGAATGATAAAGGATGTACTTTCTATGTGTGTGAATCAACATTATGTCATTATCAACATCGGTCAACATTTTGTCACCGAGATCCATCCATGCTGTGGTGTAGAGCATTGCCCCGTTTATCTTATGACATACTATTTCATTACATGATAATGGCTTTATATTAGTAAACTACACTAGATTTATTAATTTCCTGCTGGCGAAATTGAAAACTAAGCTGCTTCCCACATCCTTGCATAAGTCTTTCACAGCTTTTGGAAGACAACAGCACAGGGAGACAGTCCTGGGTGAAAGGTCTACTTACTCAGCACGAGTTGACTTTGTCAGCGTTCCAAAGTGGTTATACTCCCAGCAATACACAAGTTCCATTACTTCATAAATTACCAGCTGTTGTCAGCCTGTTGGATCTTAGCCATTCTAGTCGGGTCTATACTTGGATATTACAGTGTTTACCATGACTGGGGTTTGTTGTGACTTTACAGACTAGTAGGCTACTTGGATATTCACTTTTAGGAAATGCCTGTTCAAGCCTTGATCGGTTTTGCAAGTTATCTTTCTGGATATATTGTTTCTGGATAAGCAGTCTTTGTTGAGTAGCCATATTCTCCCAACCAAGCCTGGCCTGAACGCCTACCTGTAAAGCAGCTCATTCTGGTACCATGGATGGGAATCACTGAGATCCTGAAGGAATCTCCCAGGGGCTCACTCTTTGGTGTGGCTTGAAATCACTTTGGGAGTATGTGACGCAAACGAAGAACTGGTGACGAAGGAATCTGAGTCGACCAACTCTTACGCTAACAGTGTGTATAAAAGAATGTGAGGGGGCTGGAGAGATGGCTCAGAGGTTAAGAGCACTGACTGCTCTTCCAGAGGTCCTGAGTTCAATTCCCAGCAACCACATGGTGGCTCACAACCATCTGTCATGAGATCTGGTGCCCTCTTCTGGCCTGCAGTCATACATGCTGTATACATAATAAATAAATTTTAAAAATCTAAAAAAAAAAAAAAAAAAAAGAATGTGAAGAGTCACATGGCCCCATGAAGTGTGGCTTTTGACTTAGAGACCTCAGAAGGACCAAGGAGATGGCCTTCAGTGTTAAAGAGCATCTGAAGAGGTACTGAGTCCATTAGAATCAGGCTTCTCATTGGTTATTTGTTGTTGTGACAAAATACCAAACAAACATGACCTAAGTGGAGAACAATTTATTCTGGTTCATGGTTCAGGAGATAGAGCTCAAAGTGGCAGGGGAGGCTAGCAGTAGGCCTGAGTCACAGATGTAGTGACACATGCTTCCGTCACAGTGCAACTTGTTCATGTCTTGTTCAGCGGGACACAGAGAGCAAGCAGAAGAGGACTTGGCTACAAAGGTCAAAGTCTATGCTCCTAGCAACCTACTCTCTCCAGATAGACCCCCACCTGCCAGAGAACCCACAACTGCCCAAAGTGGCCATCAGTGGGAACCAAGTATCCAAAGACATGAGCCAGTAAGGGGCACTTCAGTATAGAAGGGTACCTTGGAGCCTGTAGGGGGCACTGCAGTGTAGAAGGGTACCTTGGAGCCTGTAGGGGGCACTGCAGTGTAGAAGGGTACCTTGGAGCCTGTAGGGGGCACTGCAGTGCAGAAGGGTACCTTGGAG